AAAGCCTATTTTGTAGCTTTATGTTTAACATAAAAAAACATTACATATCATTAAAAAATGGTGTTAGTAAACGTTGATATCTTGTCTCATTCTTTTAAAAGTGTCATTTTGCAAAATCTACTCATTCTCAATAGTACTTTTATTTTATGAATGACATACATTAATCAGCGAACGTCTATTTATTGAAGGTTCTAATTTCTTTGTGTGTATCTAGAACAGAAACATAATACTTGTATTTTATGAATGACATACATTAATCAGCGAACGTCAAGTTATTGACAGTTCTAATTTCTGTGTGTATATTCATAACAGAAACATAAATGCAAATGAAAAAAATCATTCAGAAATATCTATACAATGCCTTTGCTTTAAAAGAAAAGCAACTAAATTAGGTAAAATCTGAAATTCCAAAGAATATATTGAAATCCATAAAAAATCACATGAAGTGTAAAGAAGAAACCTCAGTTTCCATCTTTTCCTTCCTTAATTTAACAGCTATGTATGTGAGTAAACTATGTTCATAATTTTCGTATTTTTGGGTTCAAACCATGTATATCAATAAACAATAACATTGGTGTTAATAATATTAAAGGAAATCTCGTTACTGTTATGACATTCTCATATTCACTGATTAACCTTACAGGCAAGGGTTTCAGGTGTGGCCAGGTGGAAACCGTAATTGCAAAAAGAATGGCAGAAAATGCTATTTGGAACTATACTTGAAAATCTGACTTTGACTGAGTTGAAAAACAAAACAAGTACAATCTAAAAAAAAGAAAATGGATCTTACATTAATGGAATTCCATTGTAACACGATCTTTAGTTCTTGACGAAGGGCGTCTGCTCGAAACTTCGCACAAAATAAACTAGAAAAAGTTTTCATTTAATTTAGACGTATCAATTTATTCTTTATTATATTTTATCCAAGCTTTTCTTCTCACGTATTGCGGAATAACACTCGACCAATAGCTATAACAATGAGTAACCAAAACAACTGTTTACGGTCTTTTAATAGCTGTGAGGAAATTAAAGTTCATTATTTTTTAAAATTGTATTTCAAGATACACAAATTTTGCTTTAAATAAATTGTTATAAGATACGTTTCTTCTGCAACTAACATAAATGTGTCCCAAAAATGGCCACGAACGTAGGTAGAGGCTAGATAAAGTGACCATTAACGAGTATGTATGACACATTGTCGTACCCCAAACAACTGAAATTTGACTGGTTAAAGAGAAACCTTTCTTTTCATAATGCTAATCCGGTCTGGTCTAACGCTTAGCACGCCCAGTTGTAAATTAAAGATTCATTGTTCGCATCCTATTGCTACAGAAATTCTCTCTCCGCACTATAAGTTTGACGAATCAACTATTCGAACAGACCAGAATAGCTCAAGAGTTTGCAGTGGATGCTGTTGATTAACTGCCTTCCTATAGTCTCCAAGTTCGAAATTAGGGACGGCTATGTGCAAATAGCTCTTTAGTAACTTTACATAACAAATCTCGGCCCGGCATGGCCAGGTGGTTAAGGCGCTCGACTCGTAATCTGAGGGTCGCGGGTTCAAAACCCCGTCCCACCACACATGCTCGCCCTTTCGGCCTTGGGGCATTATAATGTGACGGTCAATCCCATTATTTGTCGGTAAAAGAGTAGCCCAAGAGTTGGCGGTGGGTGGTGATGACTAGCTGCCTTCCCTCTAGTCTTACACTGCTAAATTAGGGACGGCTTGCGCAGATAACCCTCGTGTAGCTTTGAGCGAAATTCAAAAACAAACAAAACAAATCTCAAAATAAGAACTCTTAAAGTTTTGGTATAGACATTCTCATTATGGAAAAATGTATCTAACAAAACTTAAAAAGAAAAAGTAAGTTTTTCTCTGCCTCTACTTACGTACAATGTGAGGTTGGGAACTAATTAAAATATAGGAGTTAATCATGAGGAAACTGATACTGATAGAACTACTCGTAAAAACCAATCGCATGTCACACTAACGTTTAGAAACATAATCATAGCCTGTTATTAAACTTATAAATGTTAGTAATACTGTTCTCATATAATTGACAGAATTAATTGTATCAGCTTTAGACGACCATCAATTAACTTGGAGTAATATATCAGAAATATATTCTAAAAACTTATGAGTGAAAGTAAAAAAAAATAAGATAATTAAAGAAACCAGCATTTGCAGGCGAATGCAACACTTCTCCGCCACGTAATCCCAACATGGCCAATTTTGATACCAGAAAAATCGAAAACTATCTATATCACTGCTTGGGAACTGCGAGAAGGTATTTTTGTACAAAATCCCATGTAAGTCGGTTGACATACACTTGGCTAGTTTACGAAAATATCAAATTGTGCTTTCCTCGCTTGACCCCATATAATAACTAAAAATAAGCAAGACCACCATTTTTGTTTGTCAATATGTAGGACCTGTAGAGAAGTATCTTTGTACCAAAGTCCATGTAAATTGGTCAGAAAACGACTGAGTAATTTATGTATTTTTGTTAGCTCTGCCGCCCCCCCCCCCGGCTCAAAACGAGCAAATCCAACTTTGTTTTGTATGTCAATGTGTTGAGCGCATGAAAATTTATATTTGTGCCATTTTAATACAACCCTATTAAGTTTCAACTGAAGGAATGGCGGTCGATGGAAAAGTGTTTTGAAGAAGAAAAAATAAATAAAAAAGAATAATAATAAACGAATAAATTTATCACAGTTAATGTGCACTCTAGAGTAAATGCTCAAAGTGATTTAATTGACTCAATTTGGATCGAATTTGATAACAATTTGTCCGTTTCTGGAACCTGCGTTTTGCAAATATTTGATTTATTTTTGGCAATCAGTAAACTTCTGAATATCACATTATGAGTTGATGTTGATCTTTTTAAACTCTTGTACAACCCACAGGAACAGGTTATTTTCATAAGATTTTAGGTATGGTATCTCTTTACCGATTTTTAACCTGTCTTTTTTTTATAGAGATTTCTAACTTAAATAAAATCAAGTATTAAATGCTACATCTACTTCTGTTTAGAGTATTATGACGTCCTATTATAATTGCCACCCCTGTAATTTTTTTAAAATTTATTTAGCATATTTTAATTTATTGTTGTTCATTGGACGGGTCTTGAAAAAAGATGTTAAAGAATTGATACAGCTATGAAGTTAGACACTATATTATGTATATATTCTTATGTGCTGGCCATTTCAGATTCACGCATCTTCACAGGAAGAAAAATTTATATTATTTTCTGTTCTTTATGATTTTGTTTTACTTCTCTACATATTTCATTATCATAATTTCTTGAGTGTGCAACAGTCTTGTGTTTCTCAATTTTTACAGTATATTCTACTCGCTTTGGAATGCAATTTTGTAAAAGATTCTTGCAACTGAGGAACACTGACTTTTGTAACTTATGAGATCATCTCAAAATTCATTATTCCACTTTACACAATCTTTTGTAAAAACAATAATTAAAACGCTGCAGCCACATATACTTTATTAATAAGGCTATTAATTAAATATTTTTTTTAAACTAAAGAAACACTCATGGCAAGTTAAAAAGAAAAAGAAATATTTTGAAAATAAGTTTACAATAGATATATAAATAAAAATAACCTAATTATTAGTGTCCAAACAAAAGCAACTCAAAATCATATTACTTAAAAACAAAAACTCTCTTCCGAAATCCTTGAAACTCTGCTCAACCTGTAATGCAACGTCCTAATGTTAAGCTTTATCTTTGAAATTGATAACTTTTATAAATAATAGTTGCGTTCATCTTATAAAGAAGACTTTTTATAGTGGGCAAAATACCTTCATCTTACACCTAGATGAACTGATAGTCAGTATGTTTTGCCATCTATTGGTAGGTTTCGTAAATATATTTTTAAGTGTCACGTGTTTGTTTGCTTGTTTTCACTTTATGTTTTCAAATATGTAATTAGAAATATATGGTAATACAAGTATATAAAACAATATTATGCGGTTGTGATATTAAAAGTGATACATTTTTCTTGCCGCTTGAAACGTTTACGTAGTATGTACTTATATCTCCTTGAAAAGTACAGTTATATACTAGACAAATAGTAGATAAATAAATTATAGTTTTATAAATTTACGCCACGATCAAAAGTTTATTTGTTGATGAAATATGGTAGTACCCTAAGAATTATTTGTAATAAAACTTCAGTTTTAAGTTGCATGTATTTTCTAAAGAAGCATTAGTAAAAATAACGAGTTTATATAATACTGTACAATACTGCTATTATTTCATAATAAATATATTTTAAACTAAATTTAATTTCTGCTCTGGGGTGATAAAGCAAAGAAAAACTGTACTCCTAGGAATTACTTAATTTTGTGATTTCTATCACCAATTACACAATTTGAAATTTTTGTCTTCTTTATGCATATTAAATTATGTTTTAAGAACCTTTTATCAAGTCTATATTTATGTATTTTCTAAACATAAAATGAAATAATAACGTGAAATCATTAACAGAGGGAGATATACGACAGTTTACGTTTCGAGCCCTAGTCTGTTGAATAATATTGAGAACGGAAGTGTCAAATCCGAAGTGTAATGTTAAGTTAATATTTTTTTACGTTTTGTGAGAGTACCCTTACTTTCTGAAAGTAAACCCACTTAAGATGCAAGTTATTTATAATATATATATATATTATTAATTTCACTGAAACGTTCAGCACTCCTGAATATTGTAACTGAAAATAATGAAATTTTGTTTTGGTTTTATCTTTCATTTTATTTTTATAGTTTTAAATTTAACGTTGGGCTTGATAAGTCCAGTACATTATATCTTTGTATTATAATATAATTTATATTTCGTGAGTTTAGCAGGCCTTTGAACTAACGAAGATATAATAATTGATGTTGTTATTAAGTCAAGCCGTCTATTTTGGGTGAGGAGCTCCAAGTTATATATTAATTAAGCTTAATAAATGATAACTTAAAAAATATAAGTGATACTACATTGTTGCAACTGATATTTAAATTTTAAGTCATTAGTAATTTTAAAACTGTAATAGTTAAGTAATTAATAATAGTATGTTGAGTCTTTTTAACCCTATGCTGAAACTGCGAATCACTTTCTTAATTTCCAGATCTGCTTGAAGGTGAAGTTGAATAACTTTTCCTGTTACGTTAAACATGCAGATATGGAGTACTAACAATACTGCCACGCTAAGAAGGTTATAGATATTTATTGACAGATACCCAGAGAGTTTATTCATACTGTTAATATTTCTTGCTCGTTTTCTTAATAAAATTGTTAATTAAAAGTTAAATTATCCATTCTTTTCTCCAACCTACGTAATATTTTTATTATCTGGAGTCATGATTAGGAAGGTATCGCCCATAAACATTATGTTAGTTAATGCACAGGTTTTAGGTTGAAAGAGGCATAAAATCAGAACCTTAAAATAGTTGAATGAGAAGGAGAAAAGTGTATATATAACATATATTAACAACAGTGACTCATTTAGTCCTTCAAGGCAGTTGTTGCAAACCCACCACTGAAGAGAAATGAGTATTTTTTAATTCACCCTTTTTTTCAAAAATCCATCAATTTCCTTGTGAAACTGCTTGTAAAGGGCTGGTCTTCATTACTTCCAAAAGCTCTACACATTCAATAAGCTAATTACCCTGTTTGAAAAATAAAACTTTTTAATATGAGCCTAACTTATACTTGTTTCCTCTTGTCCTGTTATCTTCAGAATATAGCACAAAGAAAATGGAGATCTTTATCCTATTGATCTTGGAAATGTTGTAAACTTCAATAAAACCACTTTTTACCTTTTGTTTCTTAAGAAGAGTAAGTTAAGAGATCATAACCCATCCCCATAAAACAACCCTGGAATTATCCTAGTAGCTATCTCCTCTGAACCCTTTCCATTATGTCAGTAACAATTCTTAGATAAAGATTCCAAATGAAGCCTCATCAGCTCTGGATAAGGAAGTTATAGTGAGGTTGACATGTTGTTCATTTTTCTTTACTTTTACTCTTTTAAGTTTTACTATAGTTCTGTAAGTCTTCCAAATTGCACGTCAATTTAAACTTCTTGAAACTTAAAGTAATTTGTTCCTGATTTTCTTCTTTATTTCTATCAGCCAGTTAGGTGTGATTTTCCCTGGTATCCTTTTCATTTTTAGGAGCAAGCTTATCTTGAATTAAAAGCAATTTATTTTCTTTTTTTAAGATGTTCCTACTCTGTCCCACTTAACATTCATTGTCCCTGTTTTCTAACAGTAAATTTTGTTTAATGGCTTCCTAAAATTTTTAAATGGACTGGAGACAAAATGGGTTCAATCCAAGATTGCTTTGTGTTCATTGATGTTTTTACTAAATGAAATCTGTATGTGAAGCTTCTTTTATGTCTCTTATTGATGGACGGCCAGTGACTTTTGAAGCCAGTGGTATCCAAACACCTCAGAAATACATGAACTCTTTAAATACAATGGGGGACAATGGAAAAGGATCACCACAGAGGTAGGCATTAAATGTTTCTTTATCCACCCTAATAGTATGTGCTTTAGACATAATTATTTAGAATTACATTGAATAGACATTTTTCATTCATTGGTCATTATTTTTATATATTAAATAATTTATATGGAACCTAAGTTGGACAAAGACATTATGTGTTGAAAGCTGGGACGAACTGGTATATAAAAAATTCTCAAAATAGTTTCAGTAGCATGTTTTCTTTATTATATATGAGAACATGGTACAGTCATATTAAATGTTGCAAATTTTGAAGTTATTTTTAGTCTCATAAGTTATGTTATATGTGGGAGAGTGAAGTCATAGGCCTGGAGTGTTTCAGACACACAAGAAATCAATCAACATTGTTTAATTTTGCCTACTACTTTCTTTTTTTTTCTTCAGAAAATTAAATATTCATATAGGGAGGCTTGTGATTTCAATTGGAGAAATAAAGAACAGATTCTAATTGATGAACAAGACAAGAGTTTAAAAAAAATAGTAGTAGGATAGGCAGAGTGTTTGCTTAAACATTCATATCCTGTATCTACTCTTAAAAGATTCATGTAAGTTACTGGTCAGTTATTTGCCTTAGTGGAAACTTATTGCTACAAATATTGCCTCAGTATATGATGAAATAACTGGCTTTTATGTTAACAGATCTGTAATTTTGATCACTTGAACAGAAGGTCAAAGTAGCAAAAGTCCAGTGTTTACTCTAATCATCTTAGCAGTTAATGTGAATATTTAGTGCACCAAATTGGCCTAGAATTAATCAAAAGACATGTTGCTGTTCTCATTCTTGGGGACATATTTGTGACATTTTAAAAAATAATTTTAATTCAAAATAGATTGTTTGTAAAAAGGAGAATGGACAATCAAACTTAGTTGACTAACTAAAGACGTAAAGGAGAAAATCAAGAATAAACACATAAGTTTAAAAATTTTGAACTGACAGATAATGTAGAAGATTTACAGAACAGTATGAAAGCTAGGGATTTGATTAAATGAAGGGAAATTTGTAAATCAGAAAGGCTTACGAGGAGTAACTGGCTGATATTGCTAAAACTAATAGCAAGGATTTTTTAACTATGCCAAAGATTAAACTGAAAGCTAGGATGGTGATGGCAAGATTGTTGTTAAAGACAGTAGAGTGAGGTGGTTTATCTTTTGAATTTTTTTTTCTTGTTTGCTTATACAAAAGAGTAAATTAGCAAACTTTTGTACTCTTAGCATTTTTTAGAAAATAATGAAATTAACCTGAACCATGTAGAGATTATTCCCCTGGTGGTAAGTAAAAAAAGACTGAAAGATCAAAAATTATAGATAAAGCATCAGGACCAGACATTGTTTTTTGCTAGTGTTTTAAAGGAGTTCAAAAATCAGATATGTGAGCCTTTCTTTTATTTTTGGTAAGTCTGTATACATTACATAGTGGGCCTGAGTATTTAAAAATTGCTTATGACTAATGTTACTCCTGTTTTTAAAGGGAATGATAAGAGTTGTCCTGGAAGTTATTAACCAGTTGGTCTTACTTCTTTAGTTTTAAAAGTTATAGACTATAGAGGGTCTTATAAAAGAGGGTTACTATTCAGTCAGACTGAAACTTTATTACTAGTGGTGTGTCTTAGAGGTCAGCAAGTTGTCTTGGCTTTTTCTTATTAAAATTAATGATATTGATAGAGGCATAATAAGTAAATTGGTAAAGTTTGCTGATGACATTAAACTCCTAGGTATTTCCAGTTATATTGAGATACAACAGAATGGCTTGGATCAATGGGTAACTTAGACAGATAGTTGACAGATGGCCCTTAATTTATAGTAAATGAAAGGTAATGCATTTGGGTTTGCACAATATGGGTCAGATAGTTAATATAGATGGGAACCCACTTAATAACATGACTGAAAAAAAAAGGTTTTGGTATAGTGGTAGACTAGTCATTGAGGTAGTAGTCTGTTGTGGGTAGTGAAGTTGATGGATTTTAGGATTTTTTTTTATAGACATGCATATATATATATATATTGATTATAAGTCCAAAAAAGGTAATTATGTATAGAAACATCACAAGTTTAGAAGTTAAGCCTCACTTCATGTACTGTGCACAGTCTTAGTCTCCTTTTTTAAGAAAGTATTCTGACTTATTAAAGACTGTTCAGAGGAGGGCTTCTAGGATGATTCTGAAATGGGTTATCATATAGGGATAGGTTTAGATAACTTATTTTCTCTGAAGAAAAAAAAAAGGATAAGGGCTGATCTAATTCAAATTCACTAGGTTATCCAATGGATCAGTGGAATAAAGACTTCTGATTTTTTTTGTGTTGTATTGTAAAGATGGTAAATGTAAAACAAGAGGACATAAGATAAAGATTTGGAAAAGACAGGCTGGGCTCCATTTAACAGTTTTATTTTTCTAACAGGGTGACTAGTGTTTGGATTGAGTTGCAGTCAGCAGTAGTAGAGGCCTACATCTTACAAGAGCTTAAGAATGTAGTGAATGATTTCCTGAAAAATAAAAGGTTTATGAATTTCTTCAGGACATGAAAGACCAAATGTTTCCTTGTCCATATTGTTATATTAAATTAAATGCTCCACGTTTTTTTATTTTTTTTTTTTAAATCAGAAAAGGCATTGAATGTGTATGAGCTTATTTAAAAAATCTATGGAACTTAAAGTTTTAACTGGCTAGGACATTTTCAAAAATAAGTTAATTATGCCAAGCTGTAGTAGTACTACATTAGTGTTCAAGTTAACCTCCATTAAATAAATGGCAGAGTTCAGACAGAAGCAAATAATAAGATCTTATGAATTATTATTAATTTGTATTATAAAGATTTTATTTCCCAGAATCTTGATATAGAACTTTGCTTGTAAAATAAAAACAGAAAATATCTGTCTTAAGATTTATATAACTAATTTGCTTAAAGTATATACGTAATCACTAAACGGTCTTTAAATATATATTTTTTTCATTTATAGCTATTTTTCTTTGTATTTTATCAAGGAAGATTTTATAAGAATAAGTAAATACATCTACAGAAATCTAAAACTTAGATTTTTTTTATCTAAGCAGTAGATAGAAGTCTCAAAGGGTATAAATGGTTATAAGACAGACTTGTATAAATTCTTCAAGGATAAGGAACACTGCATTGGTGATTTTAGATTAAGCTTATTGGGAAATATGCATAATACTCATCACATTGAAGTGGTGCATCCTTAACAAAACTTCTTCTGGTTATTAAGACTATACTTGTACAAGTTTATGTTGTTAACTAAATGCAGTTTCTGTTTATTGGTATCTGCAATGTAAAAGGTTTTGAATCTAGTGATTGAATATTTTTTGTTAAAGTAAAAGAACCATAAGTATGTAATTCAATATTTCAATCTAGTGATTGAATATTTTTGTTAAAGTAAAAGAACCATAAGTATGTAATTCTATATTTCAATCTAGTGATTGAATTTTTTGTTAAAGTAAAAGAACCATAAGTATGTAATTCTATATTTCAATCTAGTGATTGAATTTTTTGTTAAAGTAAAAGAACCATAAGTATGTAATATTATATATTTCATTTTCTTAAGTTTCATGTAAGATGGACTCGAGCAGTTGATTCTGTATGTTAATTGTTTTTTTAATGAAAATGTTCTTTTATTATTGATAATTTTTAGAATAACTATTTGTGTTCATATGATGAGTGTGCCTGAAAAATCACCCAATAAAAAGAAATTTTGTTAAGTGATAAATAAATTTCCTTGATCATAAAATGAGCAAATATATAATTTTAATAGTCTTGTAGGCCTAGCATTAAATGGTTTATACAGAACCATTGTACTTCAGTTCAAATCCTACTCTTGTGTTATTAGAAGTGAACAAAGTTTAGTAACTTTGTCGTTTCAAGAAGATCCTTAAAATGAGACTTAAAAACATTTCAAAAATATTAATGAGACATGATAAGGGTTTTTACAAGAGAAAGAAACAAACTATAAGAATATAGCATTCATTGTTTATGACAGTAAATGAAAAGGTTGAACATCTTAATGAAATCCTAAAAAATAATCATTTAAGTGAGAAAACAGATGCAAATGTTGATCTATGAAAATGTGAAATTACATAATCAGCATATGGAGAACTTGGCTTTTAAGTTTTCTTCAGTACAGTGCTAATTGAAGAAGCAAAATAAAAAGATATCAAGAACTTCTTGGAAGTTATATAATAAAAGTGTAATTTGAATAATAAAAGGTAACACTAGAAATTATAACTTTTGATTGTGGATTTAGATAGTATTATGTTTCTGTATCTTTACATAGTTAATATACTCCTATTAGTTAATATTTTCAGTAAATCTTTTTTCAAAAATACAAAACCAGTTTAATATTGTCTTTGTAAATCATTAGCAGGAACATCCTTTATCACATCAAAGTGTGTTGAAATGTGATGTTTCTTATATACAGTAAAATTACATTGCATATGAAAGCTATAAAATTGAAAGAAAAAAATTTTAATTTCCACATTTATAGAAATAACTTGAACAAACATAAATTCAGAAAATTTGTAATTTACAGTTTTATATGTACATTTTCAAAATCTATCATTTTATTGTTGGAAGAGTATGAACATTAAGAGTGATTCTTATAATACTGTAATATAGATGTAATCATGGATAAAACTTTTATGAAAGATAGGTGTTTCTATATTTTTTACAGGTCATTAATGGCAGACTGTACCATGTTGATGAACAGTTTTAAGATAAAAATCGTGTTAAAAAAATAAACTCGCACTATTCATGCAGTTAAATCTTTACTAAAAACAAATATCACAATGATGAATGCAAAATCAAGATTAACTCGACGTGAAGCCCTTCAGTTTCTCAAAGATATTCTGGGAATTTTAGAACCAGAGTTTAAGTTAGTTTCTGACCGTGTATCGTTGGTAAATGAGGTCATTCAGGCCTTTTCTGAAGAAATTCCTTTCCAAAACCTTGATCTTCTGTCTCAAGATGTTAATGAAAAACATCTGCCAACATGGGATGAGATTCATTTAGCTGTTCTACAGAAGCGAGGAGGATTATGTTACACCTTAAATGTTTTTATGAAAGAATTGCTAGCAGCTTTGGGTTTTGATGTCTACCATGCTGCATGTGCAATATTTCATCCTGACAATCACATAGCAACAATTGTAAAAGGTTTAACTCATACTGGAAGTAGGCATCTTGTGGACATTAGTGGCTATCCAATATTTGAAGCTATTGCTCTTGATTTTAAAGTTGAATCAAACATCTATCGTCATTCATTCCTTCAATACAAGTTTGTTCTTGAAAATAATCTTATTGTACGTTTTCATTGTAGAGACAAACATGACAGTTTGAATATGTCAAGCTCATTTTTATTTAATGGTTGGGTTCGTTTTTGTGAGATAGACCTAACTCCAAGACATCTGTCCTATTTTAACTGTACTATGGCTAGAGTTTATACAGATCCGAATGTCAGTTTTTCCTTTTTCAAAACTTTGAGATTACTGAGATTTCCAAAACTGAAAGCTGTTGGAGTGAAAGATGATTTTGAATTTACTGAGGGTGCCAATCACCAGCTGAACTTTAAGAAGTTGTCAAAATTAGAAGCTATTAGTTTCATCAAAGAACATTTTTCTCAATTTTGTGGAAGTGAAATTGAAACTGCACTTTCAAGACTGCAATTTTTCACTGCCTGATGAATATGCAGTTAGAAAATTAAAATTTCAATCAAATATAACATTATCTTATTGTAGATTGTTGTTTTTTATAGTTTGGGCTAAAATAAAAAGCTTCTATTAGTATTTTATGATAATTAAATGGCTGTTATCTTTTAAGTTAACAGTTTGTATCTCTTTGGTAAATTTGCAGTTTATATCTATATATTTAGAATTATTAAAAACAAAGAAAATAATAACTTACTATATTCTAGTTTGTTTGTATAATGACACAGTTTTTTAAAATATATTAAAAACTGTATAATTTTTTCATAAGTAGAGAAATAAACATTAGTAATAAGTAAGTGTAGTGAGTCACCAAAACAAGTATGTATATTGTGTGTAAATTAATGATTATGAAATATATATTAATATTTATAAGGTAATAAAAATTAAGTAGTTATTTTCATTAATAATAATTTTTAATATACATTTTTGGCCAGAAAAATGTTAAATTCATATGCATAAAAAAAATTCATAGTTGGGAAAAGTGGCCACCTTGAAGAGTTTGTTATTGTAAAGAAATTTGGATAATGCTAACTATATGAATTTGTACATGAGATGAACACAGTTTCTTAGTTTGTTACTAAAGTTGAGTTTGAGTTATTGGTTTGGGTTTTTGCAAAGTGTGTGTGGTTTTTTTTCCAAACGTTTAATCTTTAAAAGATTGTTGTTTTGCACTTACAATATTATAATCAAATATTTAAAGTAGCCTTAAACACATTTCCTTTTTAGAATATTTGAATTGTTTCATTAGAAAATTAATGTTTACTGTATTTACCATGAATGTCTTACAAGAAAAATATTACATAAAAAAAATGATAAAAGGAATTCATTATACATAACTTTTAGATTCTCTCAACAGATGGCATCCAAGTAAACCAAAGTGACAAAACCTGCAACTGTAATAATGATTCATGAATGCTGTTAAACAACACTTTATAATCATTTTGACTTATTAGCTTTTATCAAACTATAAAGGTAAATGATTTTAATAAAGAAAACATTTTTAGATTTATGTGATTATACATTACTATACTGTCAAACTCTTAACAGTAGTTTCATTGGGTGTTATGTGACTGTAGTGAAAGTTAATTATGAAATATTTTGTAACTGTAATTTCAAGTTCCTGATGATAACAGTTATCTATTATACTAAATTAGGAATTTTACCTTAAGACTTATTCTTGAGGTGGGATGTTTTTCCTAACATTGCTTACTATAAACTGACTTAACTGACAGTTTTTCCAGAATGTGCTGTACAGCACATTACTATCCAGTAATGCACTTTATTAACCACAATGCACTCTTCATTTTAACAGGTTAATTCTTGATATAGAGAGTATACATTAAATTCATTGTATAGTTTTTACTATTTTTACCTTGTCTAAATAATGAAAAAGTTATGCTACAACTGAACTGTTGCTAAAGGCTACAATAGTATTCATTTGAATTATGTAGAACTATAGACTTACACATGTGTAATTGGTTGTTCCCTGTTATATAAATCCTTATGATATATATTATTGCCACAGTTTATGGTTATGTATTATACAGAGTTGCACTGTTTTAACTGTATGTACATGGGTGTGAGTCAAAGTGCACATGATACAACGTTTTAACATAGTATTATGTATTAGTTATCAGCTGTTCATTTTACCCTAAGTTGCTGATTTAATAAGAGTTTGCAGTAGTAATAAGTAAATACTAGATACAATATAAAGGGTATTGAAGAAACTGTAAATAGGCATTTTAGAGGTTGTTGAGGTTATGCAAGTGTAATATAGAAACTATGACAGACAGACGAACATCAATTCCCACTCTAACTTATCGGTGTCTAAGTCAGACTGACATGGTAAATTCACAGACATACCTTGAATACAAATACTTTTTAATGCATCTAATTTGTTGTGTAAAAACAACTTGTGATTTTGACCGAAAGCTTGCCACATTTCATGTGCATACTTAATAAATTTGTTATTATAGTCATTATTTCCTCATTTCAACATACAATCAGTCCAATGGACTGACCCTGTGCACATTTGGTTAAGATGCTGATCACTTGAGTACTCAGTTAACTTCCCCAAAAGAGGGCCAAATGTTGCCTGGAGGTGTCACCTGTTTTAGCTACTCGCACCACTATACAGTAGTTTGTTGTCTATCAGTCAGTCAGACACTAAAATGATGTCACATAAGGGACATGTCATGAATCACAAGAAGAATTATGCACCCTGTAGGTTAGAACACAAAAGCAAGAAATAAAAAATATTTCTTAATTTTGATTTTATTTACTTTTGAAATAGAACATTTTCAGAGACCCTGCAGAAGTACATCTAGTATAAATGTTAAAGATGTGTAGCACACATTGTTACATAAAATGGACTTGCATTCCTAAAGATGAAACTTCTGAAATGAGAGTAATAGTATACACAAAGTAACATAGTGAATTAAAGAAGTTCTTGAAGAACTCTCACTGGATGGTGTTTACTGTAGTAAAACAAAATTTCATGGATACAAAGAAGTAAAATAATGAATTAAAAATGCTCATGAAGACCTCTCACTGAGTGATGTTTACTGTAGTAAAAACTTTCATAAACACAGAGTAAAATATAAAGTAAAGAAGCTTGTGAAGACTCTCTGGATGATGTTTACTGTAGTAAAAACTTTCATAAACACAGAGTAAAATATTAAAGTAAAGAAGCTTGTGAAGACTCTCTGGATGATGTTTACTGTAGTAAAAACTTTCATAAACACAGAGTAAAATGATAAAGTAAAGAAGCTTGTGAAGACCTCTCTGGATGATGTTTACTACAGTTAAACAAAACTTCACATACATAAAGTAACATAGTGATTTAAAGAAGTTCAATGGACATGTTGATCATAGAAAAGCAAAGTTTTATGAAGTCATGAAATCATGAGTCTTATTGAACACACTAATGTTTCTTGTATCATATTACAAAATAAAAAATATATAGATATGTCTACTTTTGTGTTCAGCTTTCATGATGTTACTTGTTCTGGTGTTGCTCATCTTGTGATAACTTGGTGTAAAATTTGTCCTTAGTGTTAAAGTATTGATACAAAATGTTTCTCTATTTAAGTTCTTGTAAAGTAGCAGTTAAAATATTTGATTATTTCTATGCAATATTACTTATAATGTATCTAGCTATTCAAACTGTGAAATGGAAAATGAGGCAATTTTGCTTAATTTTATGTTTTTTGCATCACATAGCTTGGGTACTTGCATGGGTTTTAATTGGTAATTTTTTAATATATATTTTCACCAGTTTTGTTGGACTTATGTTTGGATTTTTTTAATATTAAATTTGTTTTTATTTTTAGGATTTTCTTGAAGACTGGGAAGAATTAATTGTGTTCATTATGTTATCACCAGAAAGGTGTTAGAATGCTTGATACATAAAAAAATAACAGTAAGGAATTCCACCTTTGTATTAACTTAGCTAGAGATACATCAATTACATGTAGTTCTGTCTTAATCAATGATTATATTTGCCCAATGGATATATTTTGAGCATGTGGTAATAATATAAATGTTCCCATCTGTATAACTCATTATAGTATGCTATTTGATTTTCCAAACTATGATTTGATTATTGAATTTGATGTCTTTGCTAAAGTTACCCTTGTACTGAGGGAAGTTTTTTGATCAAAATACTAGCTATACTACGGTATATTTCCTATTTTTTCTATAGCTGGTTTTGATTTTTTTAGGTACAAAAACTGAAATCTTTAAATTTAATTAGCCAGAGAACTATCTTTGTTTCAGCAAAGCTTTGTTTAAAAGATGTGGATAGCTTAAGAGAGCAGTACTTTTCTCAATTAACTCTGTCAGCAGACTACATTTTGTTAAAACCAACTTACCTGATTTGCTTCATCAGAATAAGACAGTCTTAAGTAAAATGTTTTAAGTTGTTTTGCCAGCTGTCAGCATAGATCATTGCTGAATTTTGTGTTTACTTTTATAGAAAAATGAGATATAATTAGATAAATTAAATGTTGAACTATGGTTGAAAAGTTTTAAATTTAAAAACTAATTTTTTTTAGCATTTATAATAAAATTTTCTATTTGTATGTGAAAGTAATTAGCTTTTAAATGTGGAAACAAATTTTATCCAGACTATAATTTTTAAAGTAAGAAATGTAAACTTATTTAAACGTCAAATTTGCTCACTTGTGAAATGCAGAAGAAACCAAAACTTTAATGCATTAATTGTGTCACATTCACTGTTGAGTATTCCTGTGAGGCAGTGGATTAATGGTACATGATTAATCAAAGGCAAAGTTATGATGGGTACATTTTGAAAGCCACGAGGAACAACAATTATCACTTATAAAGGAAGTATTTTAAAATTGTGATTAATGAAATAAAAGGATGCAAAGTGGTCTTACGGTAAAACTGGATTTCAGACCTGATGAACCAGGTTTGAACCCATGCAATACCAGAAAATATTCCTTGGACTTTGAGCAGTGAGTGTGTTAAAGAAGTGACAATCATTTCCTTAATGTGGGTTGTAGGGTGCTTCTGACTTATTGCCTTCCCTCTGTCAGTTCAAAATTAGGGACAGTTTCAGATAGCTTTAGCTTGTTGAAATGTATTTTAAATGAAAAGGAATGTGTTTCAGCAAAATTAACATAACAGAAAGTTTTCTATAAAAGAATTTGTAATAAAAGCTATTTGTATTTTATAGAAATTGAGAATATTGTATATAAATACTCTCTACAGGAACAATTCAGTTAATTATACTAATTTGTCTACTTTGCTGCTTTTACGTAAATGTTTCATTTCTTTAATTACAAAACACCTAAGGTACAGGTTAGATATATAGATGTAATTAAGACAGAAGATATTTAGATTTCACAAACATAAAGGTAACTTACATTCCATATTTGTATGGTAATGGTCAATTCAAATATTTGAATATAAAAGTTAAATATTAATGTTTTCTTATTTTTTTAAATATCAAACATCCCATCCAAGTTTATTTAAAAGTAAGGCAATATAAAAAATCTTTTTAACTATATTCCAGAAATGTTTTCAAGAGTTTAAAAAATAATCTAATGGTTGTCGTGTAACTAAAATTTGTGTGTTAATAATGCTGAATTTATTGGTATGGAATAAATCAAGTTATTAAAAGTAAAAATGTTGGGTAATTAGATTACATATGGCTTAAGTTATTGTTAACATTGAGGTTACCCAGCTGATGAAACCATTAATCCTAATTTTTATAAGTAAGAACATAAGAAAAGTATATTTAATCAGCTATACTGATTACCAGGTTGACTTTTAGTTTTGCATTAAATAGGTAGTTTCCTGTGATCAGGAGTTAATTATTAAATGCTACCTGTGCTATTAGAGACAGAAATGAAATGTTGAATACTGCATTCTTGTCCAGTTATTAGGAAAGTACAGTTGAAATCAAATTTGATTTAAATGAAGGATAAGTTGGTTCCTTTGGAAATATACATGTAATATTTTAAATACTTTGAAATATAACTTCTCAGACATACAGAAAGTCATTATCAGTACTGGAATTTATTATAGTCAACATGGTCATTTAATACATTATATTAAATTTGTTTACGATATTAGGTCTTTTATGCAAAATAGACAGTATTTATGGTTTATTATTTCCTTAGCATAAGCTCTTATGAGTATAAAATTTTAGTTTGAAAATCTTTAGATAAATGTAAATCAATTTAGATTTTATTATTATTAGGATAAATATATTCTTTTATTATTTAGATAATATTAATAATTAGTTTAGTACAGAAAAATGTGTGTATTAAATTGGATGAAGTGGCATCATTCTTCCAGAAATAACATATTTATATTAAACAATCTAAGGCATTCAGAGCTTATTCACCTGATTTTTAATGCATTTACTAAGCATTTGGCATTCTCTCTGGGCAGATATTTTTGTAATTAGTGGTCTAGTTTCTAATAGTAATATGAGAGAAAGCAGATCAGATTCAGCAGTTTAATTTTTTAGAAGAGTATGTCTTTATATTGGATTTTGCTTTTCATATGGAAAGAATAAAATAACATTTTATTTCTCATAATTAATACTACTGTACTAGAAGATATCCATAAAAAGTAGAAAATGTTTTCAGTTTGGGGAATAGGATAACAATAACATATAATTATTTGGACAGATCAAAATCCAAAGTGGCTGAAAGAAGCATGTAAGGCAAAAAGGATAATTGTGTAAAACATCAAATAGCTGATAACTGAAACAACTTAGTTCTAGGAAACCTTTTCCTTGTTTTTATATGAAAATATTTTGAGATCTTAATATTTTAATAAGTGGCAATGTGTTATAATTAGTGTCTGTTTTTTTTTGTAATGGACTTTTGGCAGAATTCTAAGACAAGTGAATAAGTCTGCCACAGGAAACCAGTGAAAGTTGATGCAATAACTCAATTTGCCTTAATGGAGTCATGCTTCTTGGTTTCCTTCATGGTACATGCTAATTCCATCATTGGATACAGTTCATAATTCCATGCAGAGAAAGATGTAATTCTACTGAAGATGATGAAAATTCTTTCTGATTTCAGATGACTAAGCTTTAATGTAGTTTAAACATGCCAAAGAAAACCAATTGTTTTACAGTTTTAGTCATTATAGTTTGTCAGTACTTAAATAATCCGGGATCTATTGGTCCACCTTTGCCTTTTTTTTTCTCAGTAGTTTGTGGATTGTTTTCTGAACTAAGTAATTTTTTAGTGAGGAAAGTAAATTTTTTGCAGTCTGAATATTTGTTCTTTGGATGTTTGAGATTTGGCTGTTAATGTGGTGTAATTTATACTTTTCATCATGATAACCTTTACAGTGACTACTTACAGTGAACACACCCATTTGCTTAATAGCTAGATAAATGCTGTTGAAGTTCTACATGTGTAGTTCATCTTACTCTGCTCCTAACTTGTCCATTTTATCCAATTATTAAATTTATAGAAAGGTGAGATTCATTGATAATAATAATGACAAACAATGTATTTATTGTTGTGTTAATGATGTTATATTTACATGGTTGTGTATACAAATATTTTGCTTGTTTCGTTTTCCTTTTTTTTATCTTTAACAAAATAAAAAATGTATGTCTAATAAATGTTCTTGTATTTTTTATAACCTTAATGGCAATTACGTGTGTAATGCCATAACTGCAGAATTTAATCTTGTATAATGAATAACACTTATTTTTTACTACGAGAGATTTTAATGCTAAATTGTCTTGTGTTATCCTTCTCACTAGTTGGAAAGAGATTGGATAATCTAGATGTGCAATGATTTGAACAAATCCGGTGTAAGGCAAAGTATGAAAAACATAAGAACGTCATGTAAATAAGGCTTACATTGGTAAAGGTCCGCCTTTGGGAAAGTGTTAAGTCTTTGCATTTACAACACTAGAATCAGGGGTTCGATTCCCTTTGGTGGACACAGCAGATAGCCCAATATGGTTTTGCTATAAGAAAACACTCAATACACTGGTAAAATCAAAATAAGATCAAATTTATTTACATGTGACACACAAACTTCTGATCATTAAAACTTTCTAAGAATATAATACTAAGGAAATGGTAACAGATGAAGGAGGTGGTTAAAAGAAAATGCCAAATTTTACACCAATAGCCATAATACTTAGAGGGCAAACCAGAATATGGGAAACACATATTTGTTGGTAATTTACAGCCTAATACAAAATAGAGCTTTAAAAAATACTGCTACGCTTTAACTTGTTTTTAATAAATCAAATGAACCGAGCGTGGCATAAAGGCTAATATGCCCATACTGTAAATCCGGAGTTTCGTGTTTTCGTCCTATTGCTGCCCAAACCCACTCTTCATTTTGGGACTGTAGTTGAACAGTATGAGTGACATAAATTCCCTCTATTGAGTTGGTATTTTGTGCTATTGACTCCTAATTTACCAGTTCTAAGTTGGGGACGGCTAACGTAGATAACCCTTGAGTAATTTAGCGCAAAATTCAGCAGCAAATAAATCAACTGAATCTAGTCTTAAATGTATAGCTTGTCATTGTATTATGATTGAAAAAGTGTGACTTTTGGTGCTATCACTAGATGGCACCAGCGTTAAGTCACTATAAAGAACTCGTAATAATTGTACTCTTTATTATGGTCAATTTACTTTACTCCCATGTATGAAATTAGTGTCTGCGCATACGTTTATGCAATACTGTTTTCACGTGGATTGTGTAAGCAATTTATCGATTCAGAAGCGCCCATGTGTATGATAAAACTATTGAAAAGTAACGACGCATCGATAACGCGCTTGCTCAATTTTTTTTTTTACCTTGCCAAGAAAGTTAGATATAGATTTTGTAACATCTTTTAAATATTGACATCTCATGATACACAAAAAATTGTCAAACTGCCAGACATGTTGTGAAATATTACTAGTAACAAAGAACACCACTTGATAAATAAATCACGGAACTCGTGTTTCGTTTTTGTTTTTCATTAGGTTGCACATGACGTTAGATTTATATCCTAACCTACGCATGCTCATTAGTTAATGTAAAATCAAAATGATAATGTGTTCTGACTTGACACAGTTTTTACGTAAGTAATCTCCACTGAGATAAGAATCGTTTGTGCTTTTTTTATTTTCATTAAATATGACAAACTGCTTTTTTATTAGGTTTTAAAATACTTTTCTATAAAATTCGATATACACGTTAAATACATTTTAAATAACTAGGGTTGATTTTTTTTAAATTGTTATGAGTAATCTAAGATTTTATATTTCATATCTATTTACAAACTTTAAGTGTGTTGAAGTCCCACAATTCCTAAACCCAAAAAAATAAGTATATTAATATAAACTTGATAATTGTCTTTATGGCGTAAGGAACTGCGTAAGTGTCGCACTACAAGAAAAAATTTAATATTATTACTTGTATCTTTGTATTATCACATCAAACCTCATTCAAGGAAACAGACTTGGTTCTCCCGATAGGATAGCGGTAAGTCTACGGATTTCAACGCTAAAACTAGAGGTTCGATTCCACTTGGTGGAAACAGCAGATAGCCCGATGTGGCTTTGCTATAAGAACTAAAAAATCTTGGATAAATCACTTTAGGTGTGGCTTCGCTGGATGGTTAGAAGGGAGGGAACAGCGAGGGTCTTTTTAATGCAGAGCCAACAGAACAGGCTCGGAGAAATCTTGTACGAGACTGTTCTAAATTTATGTATTGAACTTCTGTAAATCGTTATATAGCTATCTGTCACACTCAAAACCATAGGGTTGTTCGTGGAGAAATCAGAAATTACTAATTTTCCAGCTCATTTCTCCTGGCCCGTTCCCTATGCTCTGGTTCCGCCAGATAACAGTGGTAATCCGTTAAGGTAACCACCAGTGGCACAGCGGTATGTCTGCGCTAGAAACCGGGTTTCGATACCCGTGGTGGGTTGAGCACAGATAGCCCATTGTGTAGCTTTGTGCTTAATTGCAAACAAACCGTTAAGTTAGTCAACTTATAAGCGTCAGAAATAAACTTTCTATCATTTACTTTTTCTGTTAACCACATAAAATAAAATGTAATTTAAATATTCTACAGTTGGGCTTTTTTACCATTCAGTGACGAAGCAAGGGTCTTAAAAGTTCTAGGACAAGGTTCTTTTGTGCCTTCTACCCATTATTCCTTTTTCCAAAAATGCATAAGTAATATTATTTTCTCTATTTTTCAACCTTTCCTCTATCATCTAATTACCTAACGTCAAAGAATATTTTGAAAGAATAGTTTATACGAATGAATGCAGTTCAATAATGGTTACAGTTTCGCAGGGTTGGGCGTGGTTTTAGTGATTAGCGTTTCCAGCTGTAGATCAGAAGGTGTAGACTTTGCGCTATAATGCCTATTACTGCGTTCTGAACTTCCAGCTGTTAAGCGTGTCTGTCAATGCCGTTATTCGGTTCAAAGCCATTGTGGTTGAGATGCTACTGATTGTTTGCCTTTCCTTTGGCCAGTAGTTCAAAATTTGGAACAGCCTGAAGCCTAAGGATATCTAATCTGCCCATTTAATCCATGTTGTATGTAAGGTACCATTCAGGTTAAAGATACCATTACTTTGAATACCTCTTTTCTTCTCGTAGAATACATCAGTAGCTCCCTTCAAGTCCAGTTTACCCATCTATTCCCTCCCAGTGGACAAAATTCCCTTAATATTTATTAACTCGTAGTTATTTATCAATTTAAAAATTAAAAAAACGATCATTTTGCATGTGCAACTGTTAGTGGGATGGCTAAGACATCATTCAAGCTACGCACGTACATGGGAAACTCAATGATAAGAACGGTTCTCCGCAATCGGCAACTGAACCAATAGATTAACAGATCTTGCTACGCCGGTAAATGGCGTTATATACCATAATAATGTTTGTACTGTAAGTGACTGATATAAGTATTGTTTCGACCCCTACATTTTACATTGTATTCACAACCGACCTGATGAACTCTGGTATTGAGTGAAAGACCTCATTGCCAGTGACACGCAACACACAAGGTGTGCTGTCAAGATGTCATTATCTTTCTTCTTACTGGATATTAGTAGTATAAAGCCAGTAAAGAAGTGTTTATAAATAATTATTAACAGTCATATTGGGTAGTATTGTCGCATGAACTGCACCAAGTCTTTAACGGTGAATACTTGGGTGATTTCCTTCTCTATAGTTCATTAGAAACTCAGGAATTCAGTGATCAAAGATGGGGTGATTACTTTCCTTATAGCTTACTAAAAATCGAGACTTTCAGTAAGGAAAGTTAGAGAGATATCTT